GAAAAGCTATTAAGCTGCCAGAGAGCACTACTACAGAGAGTATAACAAACCTATAGAGGAACAACCACTAAATAACTGTATGCAAATTACTACCGGTTCATTATCTTCACTACTACCACACCAATCTTCACTATCGTCTTCACTACCATAGCATTTTATCATCAGGCATGTGAAGCTAGCAGATGACCGACCAATGTGCAAAGAAAAAGTAAGCCTTCGGATCACGGCGTAGATGACCGCATCCGTTAAGAGTAGACTAGTGCTCAGATATTTTTTACGACCATTACTTTACAGTCTAACTTCACTACATTAAACCATTTCGTTAGCTAAAAAATAACCAAAATAAAAAATGTTAACGACAACGTATCGATCGTTTAGAAGGACAAAAATAACAATGCATGAATAAGAATAACGTTGTGACGTCCAAGCTGTTAGATCTTCGTCTTCGGGACGGCAGAAACCTTATTAACGATGCATCTTCTATGTCTTGAATACTCTGTCTAATAGTCTCTCTGTTTTCTGAAAGAAGACGACCTGGTGATCAAAATTTCTTAATCATTTGGTAGCAGAATAATACGCACAGTACCGCTCAATCTTTATAAGCAGGTCTGCAATTAGTTTTTCGTAGATAAAGAACTGTCTGAAAAGTGATAAGGAGCCGACTCCACATAACATACCAGCTGTTCGATTAACAGATCGCTTCCTCACTGTTTGCGTACGCTCTCACAGCTACCGCAGCGCTCAGGAGTTCATATTCTACCATATTTCGTCCGCTCATGCCAGAGCACACAAAAATAAACATGATTACCATGCAACTTATAAAGAGATAAAAATAAAGTTTAAACTTTAAAACCACCTAACGCGAGAGTCCTGAAGGTACTTGGCCAGAAGACGAATAGTTTTCAGTTCCAACGGCGAGGCATCGTTGATTTCCTCCAAAGCTATGTTGTACTTATGCTGGGCGATGTAGGAAAGGAAGATGAACGTGTCGGCAAGTAGTCCGATATCATCGCTTCTGGGTTTCAGTTTCTGTGCCTCGTTAATGCACGCCTGATAGTTACCAAGACAGTATGAGATGCGCACATCGAAGAGCTCGTCGACAACAGAATCGCCCTGCTTAGAGGAGAGAGCCATGTCAGCTGAAAAGAATACGACGAAAATATAACGAGCAGTAAGCAAACCCTCACATGGTAAGAAGTATTAATTTGTAATGTTGCATAGCGCTCAACGAAAGAACAATGGCAGTCAAGTTATTTAAATTACTATTCTTCGGTACTTTATCCCGATGATATTTTAATTTATTCTCCGATACACCACGCGCACCTAACGGTGACTTTAGTCTTGGATAATGACGCCCACATACAACTGTAATTATACAACTGAAAAATATCAAAAAAACTAACTCACAAACTTATCGGACAATTAAAAATAAAAACGATAAAACCAGAAATCAGCCGCAATTATACTAATACCGTTTATCTATACAGTAAGATTTAGGTGATCAGCATGTTAAAATTATTTGTATAGGCATGTTTTCGAACACTTTCAATAGCTTTCTGTTAGCAACTTTCGTCACTCATATCTACATTGTCATACTCGGACTACTTGACAGCTGAAACAATCAGTACTTGTTTTAAGTGCAACTTTTATCAAGTTAAACAATAAACAATTTCTAACGCGTATTTATATACTACGCGTAAATGATTTGAAGGTCATAGGACTAGTTGCGCTAGAAACAAAATGGTTCTGTTTATAATTCCAAAGGTTGGACCGAATTGGCATCAGTCGTTATCAAGGAAATAAATAATAAACTTATGATTGAATGATGACTGACAAAACAGGTGCGATAGGCCGAAACGTGGATAGACCGAATAAAGATGTCGGCAACCAACCAGCGAAACGAATTAACTATAACGGTCTAGTCATTCTTAATTATTAATAAAACATCAAATGAACAGCTGCAGGCGGGTTTAACATAGAAAACATTGGGAAACAAATTAACTCTTCCGACTGAGGCACAGTAGCAAGAGGTCGGCATTAAACTACAGAGGATACGGATTCGAATCCAAAAGATGAGAAAACATTCTCTTAACCACTAATTCCACAATGAGCAAAGAAATTATCCACGTTGCCTGGGTGCAATCAACCGAAAACAAACAGCTAGTCATTAAATTGTTCAAACACAGAGAAAGCATGGAATTCCAGCATTGTCATAAGTGAATGGTATACCATACTATCTGATGCGATTACTGAATTAAACCACTCGACAGCTGATCCACTGTGATAATCGCCACGAGGTACAAACCTCCAGCACACAGAAAAAATTCCGAAAACAACATTCCACAGACCAGCTGGCCTTAATCAGACAAACTTGGCTGATGAAAATATCTCTGGCGACAAACAATAACGTTGTGACTAACGGCGACATTAACAACGGAACCGATGTCTCAAAATGTCTTAGAAACGAAAACAGTTTATAAAATAGCAACCTAAATAGCGTAACTTTAAATGAAAACCAAACAGAGATAATTGAAAAAGATTAAAGCATGTAAAGGCGAAAAGATAGTCGACTTAAACAGAGATTAGTCTGTATATGAGCAAGTTGCACAGCGTAACTCCTTAGATGTGACGTTGCTTATAAGTGAAACAGTACTCTGTATAACGATGATTAGGTACATACAGCAGCAAAATTCACCGCTGTGTAGCCCTTTATCATTTGTTAGAAAAGAAATGAATGCTTGCCGCCTAACAAAAGAAGCCGCACTAGTGAAATTATGAATAAATGCTATATATGTTATCGTTTAACGTAATATAAACAATCAAGTGAAACAGTACAAATATGGTTCATATACAACACGGTTTATACATAGATCGTTAAAGTGGCAAAGCGTGTGATTGAGTGCTACCAATGATTCGGCCAATATATCACAGGCCTATTTTACAACGTATTTTCAAGTAATAGTTATCAATTATTGTTGAGATCGCCGGTATTGGCCAGTTCATTCACAGCCGCAAAGCAACCGATGAATCCTTTCTGCTGCTTTGACAATTTTCCCATGACAGCCAAGTAGAAATATTAATCGATTTTATATTGAATTACCGAATATTGCATGAAAATTTTAAAATATGAAGCGGCTACGCATACTTTGCAGGTAACCACTGAAACTTTTACGATTCTGGTGAACAATTAAACAAAGATCTGACCTGTTGATTCATCGTTTGAGAGGAATACCATAATCGAAATGAATAGGGCTGTTTCTAATCGTAAGTACTGATGCTTTTCATGATAACCAGTATCATTACGATTTATTAAATGACTATTGGTTCCATTTAAATGCAAAAGAAAGCAGAATAAGCTTAGAATTGATAAAAACAAGAGTTGCAGACAAAAAGCAGAACTTTGGAGAGGGAAAAGCAGTTCACAGCCAAAGGATTATGTTCTTCTACAAAGCGGCGACTTCTGTCGCTTGACCTTCAAATATTGTTTCGCCAAGCAGGAACTATGTAGTCCTTCATTCAGAAATTGTATTTTTTGGGCATTTTGGATCTTCATTTCAAGGCGACAGGCGACTATTCCTAGCATAAGCACGATTCGCTAGGAGCAGAACTGAACTTGTAAGACTTCTCAGATTAGTATATTTACGTTTGTGCTAAAAAACGGTTAGGATTAACTACACGCAGAAACTGGGGAATGGCACCTAGGGACGGAAGTTTGGTTCAGACTTCCTGCCGGCAACTTTCTTTTGTCGCCCTTAACTTCTTGTCTAGAAGAAATCATTGAAGCTATCGAAATATGGCATTTATCCACACTTAGCGAATATTTAACGACGCTGTATCCTGCTCCCGGCATAACAAACTACACAACATTCTTGACCAAAATGCTCGATACAAATTATCCATAGCTGAATCATATTTGATAAAACTTTATTTCCCGACGTGTTTTTACTGGATCAGCATTTGAGTTCGCCGCTATTGTTAATTTCAAACAGACGCAGTGGTTTCCTCAGGTACACGATTCTACCTTGCGGAAAATAATCTTTTTTGACTGTACTTTAAGTATGCTGCTATTTCAAAAATAATAAATATTTAATGTTAATGTACATCACGAAAATTTTGTCGGTGATCAGATAGAAGCAGTAACATGAAACATAACCATGCATAATGATGGCCGGTGAAGAAAACAGCGAAAAGTTTATTGTACAACAAGAATATTTACAACACAACATTGTGCACTGAATTAAATTACACCTGATCACTCAACAAAGCAGTGGCGACGGAGCAAACCACTTGAACATGCCCGACTCATT